GGTGTCCCTGCTCCAGGGGAGACTCACCTGGCATTCAGCCCAGCTGGAATTCAGGGACAACTCCAAGAAGACTCATCCCAAGTTCCAATGTCGAAAAAAGGGCTCTCTGCCTCGAGAAGCAACCTTGAGAGACGTGCCAGCTCCAGGGGAGGAGATCATCACCACCACAGCTCATAGAAGGCTCATTCAGGTGTCACATTTATGGAATAAAGCATCTGGTTCAGAGTCAGATTGCATCAAATGGAAATGTACAAATGGAACTCGTTGTACCCACAGGTTTCCTTGTTCCCTGAGAAATGAGCCTTGGAAAAGCCAGCTGCTATTCATGCTTTGATCAGTGTTCCAGGCTCGTGTGCGTCGACGCTCACCGTGTCACTCTGCTCCTCTGTGGTTTTCCTGGAGGAATTCTTGGCCTGGATACAGCTCAGKCTTCATCTCCATTGGGTTCTGAACCAAACTATGCTGGTTTGGTTAAGGGGTCAAGTGAACCCATCAGAGCAGCTAAGGKGAAGTACTTTGCATTTTCTTCCATTTTCAGTTTCTTCGCAGTTTTCCGGCACAACCACCTTTCCCCAGTGCAGCAACCAATACATGGGATTTCTTGCACATGGGATGTACCATTTATCCACATCCATAGCATTGCTCTGCTTCATTCTGTGTGAGATGATGGTGAATTTGGAGAATGGTTTGGTTGGAAGAGACCTTAAGGATCATCTCATTCCAATCCCCCTTCCATGGGACACCTTCCTCTATCCCAGGCTGCTCCAAGCCCTGTCCAACCTTTGAAYACTTCCAGGGATGGGGCAGCCACAGCTTCTCTGGGCAACATTTGCCAGGGCCTCATCACCCTCACAGGGAGCAATTTCTTCCCAATATCCCATCTAAATMTCCCCTCTTTTAGTTTMAAACCRTTCCCTTTGTCCTTTCACCATCTACTCTTGTAAAAGTCCTTCTCCCTCATTCCTACAAGCGCCTTTTAAATACTGGAAGGCAGCAGTGAGTTGTCCTAGGTGTACAGGGGATCTCTCTTTTTTAGGACTAGAGCCTGGGGTGGCTCCAAGGCAGGATCACACAAGGCAGTTCAGGGGGACCTCAGAAATTTTTTTCTGAGCTGAACTATCCAGTGAGCTTCTCTTGCAGCCATGTAAGAGCCATCAAAACCACCCTGATCTCCTGCATCCACCTCTGGCAGTGCTTTTATCAATCTGTCCATGACAGAGGAGAGGTGCTCCCTCCTTCCAGCCTCCTTTGGTGGGAAGCAGCAGGACCTCCTGATCCAACTCCACGCCAGTGATGGAGGTTTGGGGTCTCCTGCTCATCATCACCTTATGAGGTGCCTGGTGCTATTTCCCTTCTGGCTACACAATCATTGAATCCTTGGTTGGAAAAGAATTCTGAAACCACCAAGTCCACCAAGGATGATGGAACAGGAGATGTAGGGTGAGAAACACCTCCACAGGAAGGATGGAGAAGGCCTGGGACTCACCATCAAGTGCTGCTGGTTAAAGAAATATTGGATCATGGCTCAGGGAAGGTGGGAATGAGCTGAGAGCCTTCAGGCAGCCCCACAGGTCTGCAGTTATTCCAGGTGCTTCAGGACATCCAAATTATTTCAGCCATGCCAAGATAATTCATTACATCTGAGGAATTACTGATAATTCATTACATCTGAGGGCCACCATGGCTTTTGATGAAGGCCTGGACAGCAGCAGTCTTGGAACCCTTTTCTCCAAGCTTTAGATCTCCTGTAGTCCTCCCTATAATCCTACAATCTAACAGGTGATGGAGCAGAATCAGGGAGATAAGGACTTTTTTTTTTTTTTTTTTTGGAAGATTTTAGCCATTTGAGGATAAGCACCAAGGAAGTGAATATTATTTGTTGCTCAATTAATTTCTTGTCACCTTTTATGAGTGATACCCTTAAACCCTTGGATACTGAGCTGAGCTCCTGCTCAGAGTTGGCCAGGGAAATCCAGTTGAGTCTGAATCCTCCACTACCTGATGGGGGAAAACATGAAGAATGGAGAGGAGCTTCTTAAAAGGGCATTGAGTGATTGGACATGGGGAAATGGCTTTAAAATGAAGCAGGGTAAATTTAGACAGGGCATTAGGAAAAAAAATTTCCCTCGCAGGGTGCTGAGGCCTTGGCACAGGTTTCCCAGAGAAGCTGTGCTGCCCCATCCCTGGAAGGGTCCAAGGCCAGGTTGGATGAGGTTTGGAGCACCCTGGGATAGTGGAAGGTGTCCCTGCCYATGGCAAGAGGTTGGAATGAGATGATCTTGAAGGTCCCTTCCAACCCAAACCATTCTGGAAYTCCATGACTGGCTTTGCAGGGATGTAGGCAGGGTGGCATCAGCATTACCTGCTGGAAATTTTAACCCAACATCCCTGCCCCGTGCCAAAAATGCTGCCAGACCCCTGTTAAATCTCAGCCCTCCACATCCTGTGATATTGGCAAGGAGACATCAGGTTGTGTGTTTGAGAAACCCGAATAAAAACAAGCTGCATTGCACACAAAATGGGTTTCCTCATGTCCTGCCAATGYACATTATAAGGGGATGCATTTTTAAAGATGTGAAGAAGATAYAAAGCTGAAATTTGGGTGAATTCAGCCCCGTGTTGTCACTCTTCCAGAGTTGAGAGCCCAGGTGGCAACTGTGGGACSAGGAGAGGTTTCCCAGCCCCCAGGAGTGATGCAAAGCACACGTGGGGCACAGGCAGGGGTCTTTTTAAAAAGCAGACAGGGCTGGAGTTTCCACCTCTTTTATTAAAAATAAGACACATTYATTTTGTGCTCTGAAAACTGTACAGAAGGAAAAAAAAAAGCGTTGACAAACATGGAGAGGAAGGAGGGGAACGTGTGGAAAGAGGGCAGGGTGTGGGAAAACAGGATTAACCAGAGGAGCTGAGCAGAGAAAGTCGAATATCAACAGTTCTTAAACAAACATTAATCTCTGTAATTACATAACACCGTTAATTGTCCTGCAAAGGTGGCTGGAGTGAATGGGTGAGCGGGGAAGATTGGAGTGAAGAGGGCAGGCTCAAAGTGGGCAGGGGAAGAAAAAAAAAAGTGAAAAAAATTAAAACACAGTAGAAAGAGACCTGTATGCTAAAATTCATAATGTGTAATTATAGTAATTACAATATCATACAACCCGGCATCTGAGGGTGGCCTTTGTGCTTTCCTGTTCAATAGAAYGAGCTAAAATGGAACAACAACATCACAGTTTTACGAGTAACCACTTTCCCTATTTTTTTAACTATTTGGATTTCTTCAAGTTTTCCTTCTCATCCTTCATACCCTACTGTCAATGGCAAAGGAAATGCCACTGTCCTTGGAGATCACYCAGGTGGCCCAAAGCAGAGATGTTGTCACATCAGGCAACATCTCCCCATGGAGGAAGCACAGTTGGGGCAGTGATTGCTTTGCATCTTGTACCCATTTGTCATTTGACCCTAAAAATGTAGGGCTTGGTGTTTTTTTTTATTTTAAGAGAGACCAGTAATAACCCAGCACAGTAATAACCCACACCCTGTTCAAGTTTTGCTGCTGTCTGGCACAATCTGGCCACTCACAACCTGAAGTTTGTCTCTACCCATCTCCAAAACCAGGAGAATTCTTTTCAAACATAAGACAGACAGTGCTGGGAATCCTAAAAATAATAAAAAAAATAAAGTCTGTGTGTCATGTCAGTGGTATATTTTTTAATGATAAAAGCAATTGCAACAATACATTTTGGGGTGAAACGGAGATACCTTATTTCTTGYAAACAACCTTGAGAGGTGTTTAATGAAAAAAAATTGAAATKATTATTTTTTTCATGGTGAAATGAAAAGATTGTGTTTTATGAGGAGGAATGTCCTACTCTCCTGATCAGCTCTTCCTTCTTGTAAAACCACAAACCTGCTGCTGGCTCTGGGCTGATGGGAGGAAAGAGAAGAGCCAGTGAGGGGAAAACAACTAAAACCCAAACTGAACAAAGCAAAACAAACCGTTGCAAGCCAGCAGGAAGGGGCTACGTGTTCCCACCATCCCAAATTTTCCACGGAACAATTTGCCTTCCACCTTCAGCAGGTGGCATCCTCACCCCATGCCTGCGCAGTCCTATGGCACGGAAAGGCATTCGAAATGACAAGAGCCAAAGAAAAGAAAGGTCTCGGGTTTCAAGTTCTCTTTTTATTGAAGAAAAGAAAAGAAGAAGGAAAAAAATAGATTATTTTGTTTGTTTTTTTTTTTTTGTCTGTTTCCAAGTGGACGTTATTCATGTTGTCAGTTTGTCTCAATGTCCTAAGGCAACGTCTCTGTTTACCAATGTCTCCAGGTACGGTGGCAGATCTGTCTTTCCCTCTTTCTCTCTCTGCCTTCCAGGGAGGGGCAGCTTGGGATAAATCTGAGTCCGAAAGCAAGGACAAATAACAGAACAAAAAAAAATAAAAAATAAAAGGATGAGGCCAAGAGGACCTTCGCAAGGCCCGTGCTGAGTTTATCTATTTAACAGTCAATGACAACGACCTACATTCTTCTTGTTGGTCTTGTTTTCTCCCACCTTCCACCCTGTCCCCGGAGATGGGGCGAGCAGGATTCGGAGATCTGGAGCTGGTCCTTCCCTCCTGCCGGGGAGGGATGAGAGGAGGAGGTCCCACCTCACCTCTCCATGAGCCGCGGGCGATGCCACCACGACCCCGCTGCCAGGTGGTGACGTGGCACCCAGGAGTGGCAATGTCCTCGGTGCGTCCCATCTCCTTCGTCCTCCGATGAGCTGGCGAGGGTGAGGCGGGGAGCGAGGGATGCCAGTGCCCCTCGAGGCCACATATCCCACAGATGTCCCATCTCGGTGTCCCCAAACAACCCCGATCTTCTGGGCCCGCTGCGGTGGCCGCTGGGCGTCCTTCTGCACCTCCCCGTGGTAGAGCAGGAGGGCTCCTGGTGTGCGGCAGCGACCCCAGAGCATCCGGGCAGGGCTTGACCCCTGCAGCCCCTCCCCACCCTCCTCCTCCTCTTCCTCCTCCTCCTCCTCGCTCTCTTCCAGGCTCACTCCTCCAGTCCTGCCTGGGAAAGCTCGTGTTGTCCTGAACCTACAGCTACTATACTCTATAAAGTAATATTCCCCCGCTCTGCTGAGAACAATACAAAAGTTACTCCGTCTTACCAAAGGTTTCAAAAGAAACCAAACACTTCTCTTGCTCGGTTCCGATTTAATTTAATCATTTCTTTAAAACGCGGTTTTTTTGTTTTGTTTGTTTCGGTTTGTTTTCCGGAAAAAAAGAAAAGTCCTTTTTCTTCCCTTTCTGCTCAGACCTCTGTCTGAAGGTCAATAATGTCTTGTCCCACCAAGGGGATGGTGGCCCCTGTTTTCTCCCACTCTACAGTTTTTAGTTCTAGGGGAGATTGTGCCACAGGTTCGATGTCCTTTTTAACCCATGCTGGTGGGGACTGGACTTTCCTGATGCCTTCCCAGGGTCTCTTGTTTGGTGTCTGCTGTTTGTCTTGCTGCAGGAGGAGGAAAGTGTAAGAAAGGAGAGAGAGAGAGAAAAAGAAAGATTAGTACCAATGTAAGGAATACCATGATTTTATCTCTTCTTGTAACAACAAATTTTTTTTTTCTGTGCAGCTTCTCACCCAAAATAAAGTAGAGGTATCAATGAAAATAACACTTGGTGTACAAACTGTCTATTTTCAGGAAGGAAATATTTTTCTTTCCACTGCCACCTCCATCACTTAAAGCCTGCTTATTTCAGCTTCCATCTGAGATTCTTGCTACTGAAAAACTAAGCATGGTTTTCAGAATATTTCATCTCTTTCTGCTTCCATGGGTGTAGTCACAGGACAAGGGGGAATGACTTTAAACTGAAGGAAGGTGGATTTAGATGGGATATTGGGAAGAAAWTCTTGGCTTTGAGGGTGGTGARGCCCTGGCACAGGTTGCCCAGAGAAGCYGTGGCTGCCCCAACCCTGGAAATATCCAMGGCCARGTTGGATGGGGMTTGGAGCACCCTGGGATAGTGGAAGGTGTSCCCCATGGCAGGGGGGTGGAACTATAGAATCTTCAAGGTCTCTTCCAACCCAAGACATCTGTGAAATCCAGAGTACACCGAGGTCTTTCTGAACACACGCTGCATTTGATGCACATTCCTTATGCAGCACAGCTATTTTTAGACTCTCTAATTGCAGCAAAAGCTGCTCCCTGTCCTGCCAGGGAACCAATCCATGCTGCTGGATGAGCTGGAGCTCAGCTCTGAGGCTGAAAACATTTCCAGCAGCRAGCCTCAGAGGCTTTATCAACCCAGTCTCTTATCAGCATCCTGCCACGGATATCAATCCAGAAAATCTCTTCGCACATTTCTGCCAGTAGGCACCAAGACAAGGCTCTGGGGAGAGCTGAGAGGTTGGAGAATGGGTGTGTTCTACAGTGGGTATGAAAAAGGAGAGGTTTTAAAAGAGTTGTTCCACTCAACTTCTCCCCTCCAAGCACCGCTAATGCTTTTCACAATTAATCATCCCCACAAAACCACTCCAGCACCAGGCGAGAAAAGGCTTCCCTGGATGTGGCAGAGCCCTTTCGAGCCACCTGCCAAAGGGAAGCAGCTTGTGGAGGGTGACAACAAGGAGGGAGAAGTCTGTGGAGAAGGTGAGGAGATGGACATGCAGGGGACACGCAGCCCAGGACACGTCACAGCTCGGTGCTGTCACCAAAATGTGACACTKAGGGGACGTGAAGCCACACAGAGATTGTGGGGTCACATCTGTACTCCAGGATGGTGCTGGATTGTTGTAGCTCCATAGGAAACCAAAATTCCCATCTGCTGCTGGCTCATCCAGCAACCTCAGCTTCTCATTTTGTCCTTTCCTAAGACATTTCTGTAARGCTGTTGTTTTTCCCAGCTGACAGGAAAGCTGCTGTGGAATTATCCCTACAGCAGCTTTGGATCACCAAAACCACGAATTCTACTGGTCCAAACTTTAATATAAAAATAAGAAGTGCCTGAAGTTGGTCCTTCACCCCAAAACACCCAGGGAGAAGGTTCTGCGTGAGAGCATTTGGTGATTAGAAGGTGGTGAATGTACAAACCAGGTAAAACATCTCAAAGTGAAGTAAAAACATTCTGAAGCTGTTTTCATTCAAAGGGAGAAAAGCAAGTTTTTGCATCCTTTTAAAGAGAATTTTTGTCTGTTTTTTTAAAAMATCAGGTTTAGTAAAAGTCTTGCTCAGAAGGATGCAAAACACTCAATTTCTTTACATCTGCAGCTGAGATTTTCATTAAACTCTAATATACAGAGCTTTCCTTATGCTGCTGGTGTTATTCTTATCTTATTCCATGATATAACATGACAATGATTAATCCTAACAGGGCAGAAAAGGGGATAAAATTCTTGACTTATTCAATTATCTTTTTTGGARCTCATTTTAGAACCACTGCAACTAAAAACTGGAACCTGTTTAACTCTCGTGTGGGTCTTAATGAGACAAGTTGGAAGTTTCCTGAAGGGAAATTTCCACCTACAGTGTTTTTTGGAGACCCATTAATCTGCCTGGAAAGACTCAACAGGRGAGAGCAGAGTAAAAAGCACATAGAAAGCGAAAACTGGAATGAAATTAAGTTTCTCAAAAGGTGAAAAACACCATTGTTAGGACAGATTTTTTTCAATGAAAAACATTTTTTCTTCTGTAACTGCTGTAGTGCCACAAGTTTTCAAAGCTGCTAATGTCCACAGCTGCATTAGAGTGCAGCAGAGGCTATCTTACGTATAAAGTTCATAAATAATTTGATTTTTTCCCTCAAATGAAAGCCCTTTTTTTTTCTGGCATTATTTATGGCCACATTCAGCACTGGGTTCTATTCCCAGCCAATCCCTGCTTCAACAGTCTCTCCATCTGCCACACTCCTGACCTTCAGCCTCTCCTTCATGCTGGGAGGATGCTCCCAGATCTGATCAGGCACCCTGAACGTGACCAGCAAACCTCAGAGCCCTCCTTGTCACGGGCTAGTGAGCAAGATCAGCTGCAAATCCATGCAGGGAACAGAAACTGAGAGAGAGAAAAAAAAAACCAACCCAAAATCAAACAATGATGGGCTCACATCTACAGCAGCAGCCTCAGATCAGCCCTGTCACCGGGGAACAACACCTGAGGGTGACAATAATTATTCAAAACCGAGACGTTAAATTTTGTGAGTTATTAAGGAGGGAATAAACAAGCAACGAAGAGAGAATGAAACAGAAAATATTATTATGGCACTGCACAACTCGAGTCTGCACCTGCAACTTGAGTATTCTGGGCACTCTGTGGGCTTCCTGATAGAGGGATAAAGGGAAAATGACAAAGGTGGCTGKTTTTCAGCCATGGATAAAGTTATTGAGAATGTTCTGTGGGAGGAAAGATGACAGGCTACCTCCTTCAGGCCTTACAAGAGATTATGGCTGGGTGTAGGAGAGGTCTGTGATGCTCTCAGAGGTTTGTGGTTGGCAGGATTGGGTCGCTGAGGGTGGGATTGGGATCATCTCTCGCATCAAAGGAACTCCAGAGCACCAAGGAGCGAACCCCAGCAGCTGGTCCTGCACACAGCACCCAGCCAACATCCAGGCCACCTCTCCACAGCTCTCTGCCCATCCTGAAACCCCCAAACTCATGGAAAGCACATGGAAACATCCACAAAATCAATGCCATGCAATGCAGCGACACCACTCTGCATCAGGGGTGCACGAATTCCTGGAATTCTGGGGATCTTTTTGAAGATGCCTCACCACAGGCTTGCCCTTTTATTTTTCCAAGCTCCTTTTAACTCTGCCAYGGAGAGGAGGCAGAAACTGGACTTGGGTCTGACCCCACGTGGCAGTTTCCATCCTCCTTATCAGCCTGATGTGCCTGTGGCGGGCTTAGCAACTCCCAAAAAGTTTATTTGCAGTTATAAGACAAAAAAGAGCTCTGGGAAATGAAATTATGAAGGGAGCCTCGCTTTCAGTTTTCCATTTCTCAGAAAAGAATTAAAGCTTCTCTGGTGATACAGTGAGAGAGGTGAAGCATTGAGGGGTAACTGCAGAAGGACCTGGTGCCCACTGGGATCTCTGAGCAGGTTAATCAGCCTGGCAGAGCTCTGGGAAGGACGCTGGGAGACAAAAGGAAAATCCCCTCTTGGCACAAGGCACCCTGGGAATCGGCAGCAGGCTCCTGGGAACAGCTCCCCTTTTCTTTCCCTCCATATGGAAAAAAGTTTTTATGGGGTCTTGGCCACTCGACCAGCACATGGGAACAGCCACCGGGATCACGCTCAAGCCCTGGCATTTCCCTCCAGCTCCACGGTGGGGTCTCAGCAATCTTTGCAGGCAGGAGGGAAAACTGAGCCATGCATAGAAAAGAAAGAAAAAAAAAACCTGGAGAGAGGGAGGTGTAACCGGGCTGGAAAAGGCGCCGGGGCTGGCCCGGAGCCTGGCGCCGTGGAGACAGCCAGGAGCAGCCCCAGACAGGGGCTGAAAGCACCAGGGGCTGCTCTGCCAGTAATTCCCAGGGTCAGAGCCATCACTCTGCCCTGACACAGCCCTGGAGCTTCTGGGGAGGAGGGAAATGTTTGTCAGCCCCTGCCCGGTGCCAGGGTGGTGGAGGAAAAAAAAGGGGTGGGAAAGGAGAGAGCATCCAGAGTCGGAGCTGGGGAAAAAAAAGCTCCACACTGGAAGTGTTCATCATCCTGGTGGCATTGGGAGGCTCCTTCATTCAGCCCTGACTTCCATTTTAGATGGAAAATTTTAAGGTGGAGGGAGAGGATTTGGGATAAAGGATATTTGGGATAAAGGATGCAGTGCCAACAAAACCCYCAAATCTCTGACAGAGACAGAGGCAAAGTGCTTTGGGATAACCCACACGTCCTTCTCCTGCTAAARCTGGTCCTGGAAAACTGCAGCAAGTCCCCTGTGCTGGACTTGCCTTGGCCATGGAAAAGTGATGGTGCTGAGCAGGCACCTCCCTACCCTGGGGTCTTCAGAGAATCATCACAAAATCCCAGAATGGTTTGGGTTGGAAGGGACCTTAAARATCATCTCATTCCAACCCCTTTCCATGGGCAGGGACTTGTTCCACTGTCCCAGGGTGCTCCAAGCCCCATCCATCTTGGCCTTGGACACTTCCAGGGATGGGGCAGCCACAGCTTCTCTGGGAAATCTCTGCCAGGGCTTCACCACCCTCACAGTCAAGATTTTTTTCCCAACATCCAATCTAACACTGCCCTCTGGCAATCTAAAGCCATTCCTCCTTGTCCTGSCACACCAGACCTTTGTCCAAAGYCCTCTCCAGCCCTCTTGRAGCTCCTTGAGGGACTGGAAGGGRCTCTGAGKTCTCCCTGGAGCTTCTCTTCTCCAGGCTGGGCATTCCCARCTCTTCCAGYCTTTCCTCACAGCAGAGCTGCTYCATCCCTCCATCCCTCCAACMCCAGAGCTGGACCAAAKCTCCCAGCTGGGGTCTCRCCAGAGCAGATTTGAGGGGCAGAACCCCCTCCCTTGCC